AGCAGGAATTCAAACTAGGCACAAGAATAACTTTTTTGCTACTGAAAAAATCTGCACAGCTAAAGAATTTGTACTGTCAGGAATAAAATTATGTATGGAATCAGATAATAGCAATAATCCAGCACATTTACCTAAAATGGATTTGCAACAGATCAATAGTGCATACTGAAGTTTTAACACAATATTAAAACCAGAAGATACTAACCTTGAGATTGGATAGGCAGTTGTTGAGGAAAATATGCCATCTGTTTAAAAAGAACTGCTTCTGACTGACACAAAGCAGGCATGTTACCAAAGGGTACAAAGCCTAAATGGGAAATGGATGTCGATACCGTGTTATTTCCATGTCTACACAACATAAAAGTAACTTAATTGAGTTACTGTAAACTTAAAGCTCTAACTCGTCCATTTTGTGCAATACATGTTAGCCAACATAAACACACTGTTAAGTAGTACAATTTAAAAGGACCCTTTCTCCAAAGTTGTAACAGATATGTTTTATGGATGAACTACAAACAACCAAATGCCTACTTATAGCAGTATAATAAATCCAAAGATGGGCCACAATTTTACAGACTCACAGGGCTAAATTCTGTCAGTTAACTGAGAAATGATAGCATGGAAATAACTAAACTTTATTACAGTAACAGCAGGACCCAAGAGATTGTTGGGACTTGTGAATGCTGAGATGCCTATTACTTCTCAAAATCTGCAGTCACAATATTTACTGAGAGACATGTCAAACACCCTAAAGAATTGTGTTAAAATACAGGCAATGCCTGGATCTGCTGGTAGTTACATCTTGCTAAGTGAAAAATAAAAAGAAGCAAGACAGAACATAGAAGTTCAAATACTGGAAGCTGCTCTCTTTGTCAACACTTTGACACTCGTTTGCAAATGCTACACGAAAAAGAACAAGCTAAAATGCACCTATTGATTTTGAAACGGACTTCGCTATTTCACAGCAAGACTCTTCTGTTTCAGTTGTCATATTAATATACCCAATTAGGATTTTAAGTTATCAGCCAAAAATGAGGTAACTTTATCTTAAAGACCAATGATTCTCAAAATTAACCCTAAAATTCTAACTTCAGTCACGGCTCAAAGTATAAATACACCATAAACCCCAACTTCTGCTCCTGTAATATACAACATAAATTGTCTATAGCTAGGTTAGACCCAGTTTCTTGAGCAAACGGCAAATGTACATTAATTTTTTTTTAATAATCTTCATGCCCAAAATACGTATGGGAGAGGATAACTGAAGCCTTTTCATGGAAGACTTTCTTACCATATTAACATTATGACTGTAATAGTTGAGTACTTGACAGGATGACAGAGTTTAGTAACATCCCAGGAGTGTTACAACCCATCCTAATGAAGAGCCCTAGGAGGGAAGATATAAACCATCTCCTGGAGTTTCCTAATTCTCTGTTCTCTATCGAGAGAAACTCAACAACCAGCTCATACGAGATAATTTTAGATACAAAATGAGACAAGATGAATGCCCCCATCCTGCCTGTGCAGTGAGGGCATGGATTCACAAAACCCTGATCTTGGAGAGGAAGGTCCTCTTCAGACTCTAAAGAGTCTGCTTTCTTTCTGGAAGCCTGGAAATATGCACTGCAGCTATTTCTGCCAACTGTTTGCTTTTCCCCTCCTCCTCCTCCTCGCAATGTTTGTATTTCTAATCACACCCTCACAAGAATCTATTCTATTTTGTCACTTTTAACTATGTAGCCTCCAGTGTGGTATGTGTAGACAAGCAATCAAACGCAAAGCCCCAGCTGTGCAATCCTTTCTCAAGCACATAGTATTGACTTTGGCAAGTGCGGCCACCAGTTTGGGGAAGTTCTATTTAGTGTAAAAACTGTACAGCAAAGCTCTTACCCTCCTGCAGTTTCAACAATGTTTTATTAACTCGGCAGAGTGGAACAGAGCCACACAAAGACAAGCAGAGTGAAATCAGAAATCTATCCCAAGACTCCCACTAATTCAAACCGGATCAGGACTGCGCCCCAGGGGATGCTCTGACTCTTCCCTGGGACTGGTGTAACGATGGCAGAGAGCTCAAGCCCTCTCCTGTGTCCTCCCAACAGACTGACTCACGCTAGCGACCAGCATTGGCAGAGAGCGCTGCGAACAGGGAAGTCTTTTTGACTTTCCCATAGAATGAGGGAGGACAAACGACAACTTTATTTACTTAAAAGGTCCAAGACTTCAAAACGGATTAGCTAACGCCGCATTGCTGACGTGCGCTGACCCAGTTGGAGAGACAGACTGCTCAAGGCAGCCAGCATCAAACTGACTCAGGTCCTCATTTAATTCAGATCAACTCACGCTTCCAAAAATATACTGCAGTGCCACTGTTCGTCTCACAAGAAAAAAATGAAATAAGGAGCTGCACAGTAGCCAAGTTATGGATTTAAAAGGGCATGTGTTATACATTTTTTCATTCCTACAATGTATTATTTAAGCCCCGTGAAAGAGTTGTTCCCACATGCTTCATTTGTTCTTGCTTGACAAGAAGTGAACTCTATTCTTTCTCCTCTCTTCCTAATGTTTATACAAAACAAATACGAGAAAACCTAACCATTTAATAATCACAAAACCAGAAGCTAAAAAAACATCTGTTTGATTCAGACTGATCTAGATCATATTCTGAATAAAATAAATATGGTCATTTTCTGCAAATGCAATAACCTTCCCTGCAAATAGAAATGTATTGGTTATAAAGCCAAACGCAGAAAAAAGTTTTGCAATTTCCCAAGAGTCTTGCTTAGAGATATTTCTGACAAAGAATTTTAGCCTCTGCTTCTTACGGTTACTAACCAACGAGTGCTTCTTTCGTGAGGAAAGTTCAAGTGTTGTATCATACAGGCTTTCAACAAAGTTCCTCAGACAGGGGACATTCACTTCATTTTTAACAGCCTGAAAGAAAATTTCATGTTAATAAAACACTATTTCACAAGCTGTTTTATCTAATTTAAAGAAATTATGCAAACAACCTGAAAAATAAACTCACAGCAGCTACGGGGACAAGAATTTCAACAAACAGTCCTGCCAGTGCATGCTTGATATCTTTGTCTTTAACTTCAAGGAAATAATGTGCACATTCCTAAAACAAAAGAAATCAAGAAACATAAATTGCATATCAGCTGGAATAAAGACCTCTAAACGTTTGCTGAATGCACATCAAGTGTCAGTGACTATTTTTATCTTGTAAATCCCAGAGAAAACATTTGTCTATTAACTTCTAAATCCGCACTTTGCAGCAAGCACAAAGCAGGACATAAGTCAAGATCAAGGACCATCATAATCCACAAACTCTCCACTGATTCCAGTTGTGTCCGGTGGTGTTTTGGGGATGGAAAGGGAGCTGGGCTCCGGGGCTGACCTCATGCCTTCCCTGTGCATACCTTGAGGAGCAGGAGTAATAGCCCACATGGGCTGCTTTACACAATGCTCTCAGAGGTCAGAAAAGGAACATACTTCTCTGGTAAGATATTCAAGGCAAGGAACAGTCTTACCGTAAATATTTGGGGATAAATTTCACTGCTAGAATCCATTGCAGATTAAGGGTCAATACAGAACTGTGCTATGTGAGGGAAGAGACCTGTGGTGCAAACCATCACAATCTCCAGCCTGCGACTGGGGACTGAGAGAGAAAGTGAAAATGTACTTTTATCCTAAACATGCAGTGAACTGTTATCCACACAGCTGTGCTGCTCAGGAAGGGAGGGAGGGGAGATAAACATCCACCCACTCGTGTCTTTCTGTACAGCTTCTCTGAGGACGACAAATCACGTTGCTCCAGTTACTTCTTCCTCTCTGGGTCCAAGGCCCAAACAGGCACTGACTTTACAAGGAAAGTCTCCACTGACCTTTTCTCCCGCACATGCGTGCAGAGCAGTTTATACTTTAGATCGTGTGTAATTTTTCCTGGCTGCAATTAGCATTCTACACCACATGGCTTCAGTCACTCCAGCCATTTCTGCGACACACACAGCTGAAACCCCTCTACAAAGGCAGGCGCCTTCCCAAACCGCTTCTGCACTCCGTGGTGGAAGACGGGCTCTTCTGGAGCTTGCTCCTGAGATTAGCTCACCCTTTGAAAGTGAGAGCTGGTGCGACAGAGCTTATAGCTGAAGCACTGCATGTAGATACTCAAACCAACACATGAATCGCTCAAAGAATTGAACCGTATTTCATCAAACTGAGCAAAACTGGTTTTCCTACATACCCAGTGCATCTTATGATGCATTGTAGCATATTTACAAATTAATTTAGCGCCGAGATGCTGTAGTCAGGGAAGGCAGAGATCATTTGCATCCTAATTTTGAGTTCTTCTGTGTGGGAGCTTTACCATCGATTTCAATAGCAGTGGACACTGGATCCCAGCAGTGCTGTGCCATAAAGCTCTGCCACAAAGTCATTCACTCATATTAGCCATGTGCACTGAACATACCCTACTTTGGTATCTCGCCAGCGCTGGATAACCTCCATTAAGTCAATGCATACTAAGATGTTCTTATAAAGAAGCGTAAGGTACGAAGAAAAATCACCTGTTTCTGTGTTGTTAAATATGTTTTAAATATGTTGTTAAATATGGTTTAAAGCACGTTGCAAAACCAAAATAAAATGTGCTTCCTGTTCAGGACTTAGAGAAATGGCTCTGTGTCTGTACGCCTGTGTATTTGTATTCCAATGTCAATGTCAAATCCCTACTTATGGGCATCAACCATTGATTTTTTACTCCATTGACACCATCAATAAGCTGATCTTTACATGGAGGTTTATATAAAACATGCATTTTGCTGGATGAGTGGCTACAAACTGTGTAGCCATGAGAGTGATCCCAAGAAAAAGCAGGGGAATAAAATGGTTAAGCTAAATAAACCTGCTGATGGGAACAGAACCCACTGTACATTACCAGCAAGAATGTGGACTTTTAAAGTGTTTAAACATAAAATATTTTCTTTCCTTTCACAAAATGATGTAATCTATTAATTTAAAGCATTCATGATAGTCAAACTATGTTCTGTACCAGTGGCTTTCAAACTGGGTGGGTACAGAATGTACCCTACAGGAAGGGGGGTGAAGGCATGGTGGAAGGAGACAACACATCCAAAGGACACTCCATCCAGCTTTTGCCTCAATTCTTTGTCTCTTCCTCTGTGTTTTTCTCCTGGAGAAGTTCCTCTCCTGTCTGGCAACTATGTGAATGGTGGAAGATTCACTTTGAAGGCAACGAGCAGCTAGGGAGACATAGCTAGGCAGGGACACAAGGCAAGCAACAGCTGTGGGATGGCATGGAGGAAGGTCTGGGGTCTACAGAACAAAAACTCTTTTTGTTGGAGGGCAAGATGTAGGGACTAGGGGTATACGGCTGATGAAAAGTTGGTATGGAATGATATACTCTGGCACTGGAGCGCTGAGGTTCAGAACAAGCAGAAAGTAGTTACATTTACATTTATGTGGGAATGGCACACGGAAAATCTCCTGGAGTATTACAGGAAAGTTGAAGGGCAGCCCATTCTAAAAGGCCTGGGAACCACAGTTATATTCTTAAGAATTTTACCTGCATAAACTGAAGAGAAGCTTCAAAGTCCTCCACAGGATACATCTTAATGCGAAAGAATTTCATTCCCATTATAAGACTGATAATGCTTTGAACTACATATGGGCTTTGTTCTTTATGCCGTAACTCTTTTAACTCTGCCATGAATTTCTTCTTTACAGCAGGAAACCTATGAATTCACATTGGTTAGTTACAAAAAAGAACACTTCAATATTTGAAATGTATTATAAGGTATATAAATGGGAAAAACCTAAAGACTCAACTTCAGTAGTAAAATACTGTTTCAGGCAGTATGTGAACAGATTTCTTTTTGTTTAGTTTTCTTCACTTCTGATGAACTCAGAAAAGAAAATGAAGCATACAGACTGATCTCAGTCCATTTAGGTAACCACATTTTTCAAATTATTTTCTTACCATGCCCTTCTTTTACATAAAAGCTAACAGTATCACTAGAATAAACCCTTCACACATTTTTCAAAAAGCTGAGATGATAGTTCTCTTACAAGTATATGGAAAGTTTTCAAAAGAAAATGCTTAGATGATAACCGTGAAAATATTCAGGCAAGCTGTTCCTCCCTTCAGGTTTTTCCTAATAGCCATTACAGTAACACTTAAGCATTAACTACAACAACTTGGGATGGAGGGGTCTGTGACCATTTTTGATCCCCCCCCCCAATCTATTGGAGGTGTCTTTTGAGACACATTGTCCATAAAAATAACATATAGGAAGATCATCCAACAGGGCCTCCTGTCCTTTTTGAGACAAAATGAAAAGAATGTAATTTTCATGGGCAGGTGTGGCACGTAACAACCTTTTGTTATCGCCTCTGATAGAGAACACAGGAGAGTTGAAAGAAACCGGTTGGCAGGAAGAAGCCCTTTAGTGAAAGTAACATCTTAGCAAGGCCCTTCAGAATTGGAGAAGAAAAGCAGTATTTATGGAGAACAGGTATGTTTTATCTTTGACAGTCAGCTTGAAGCTTTGGAACCAGATGTCACTTCCCCTTTTGCCTTTGACCCAGCCAATTTAGAAGCCCAGGTAAGGCCTTAGCTGATGTCTCTGAAAGCTGTATGATTTCCAGGAACTCAAATTGTTTTGGCTACATCCAGCTAAGTTGGTTGGTTTTGTAAAGCAGACTCACTCTCAGCAACACCAAGAAGTCAGGAGGCAGAGATCACTGTGTTGGGGTAGTAAATTTTACCCTCTGCTTAGTTTGTGGTGTAAGTGTATGATGAGATGTTATATTGGGTACACGAGTTTCTGAATCTGTCTGCTTCCAGATTCAAAATTTAAGACTTGATCCACAAAATGTTTTATGTCATCTGCTCTAAGAAGTGCACGATGAAGGACTCAGAAGCAGTTGCATTAATTTCTGAACTGAAATAACTGCACAGAGACATAACAATGTTGCTATGTTGGAGGACAGTCATTTTTAGGTTTGCCCAGCTAGATCAAAAATAGCATATAGAAAAAAATTAATTAAAATAGCTCTCCTCAGCCCTTTGGGCTTTCCACAGATGTCATTGCTGAGAAAAGAAAAATAACACTGCTATAGTCGAGTTGAATTGATTCAGTATCACCGGACTAGATGCAGAAAGCCTGTGATTCCCTAGAGTTCTACGCTCAAGAACACCTGGATGAATAGAGGGCCAATAAGCTGAAATTATTTATTCCCACACTATCTTTTAAGAAAGTGACAAAATCAGAATATTCACATGCTAAGCAAGTAGAACTTCTCAGATTTACAGGGAAATATGATATTAAATTTTGCTTACTTTGCTTGAGCTAAAACACCTATTACTTCTGCATACAAATCCGCAACAATGTGCATATTTCCAGTGTTAGGACCAAGGTACCTAGCAAGAGACAAGAAAGAATTCTTGGCTGAGAAAGCATACTGCTTAAACCACTACCATTAAAAAATTTAGAAAGTAATGTCTTTCATAGAATTCTTGTATGAGAAAGAGTCTTACCCTTCTTTGTACTTAAAGTGCTTGAAAGCCAAGTTAATAACATCATGTACCAAACTGTCTATTACAGGATGAAGTGGAATCTGAAAACACAAAATAAAACATAATGAGTACATATATATTATACTTCAAGCTGCGTACCTTAGCGCTAGTATTATTCATGGGTATCTTCCATAGAGAACTATGGTATGCTGAAATAGCATATAGCTAACAAAACAGCTGAAACGAGCCAGACATTTAAAGTTTATTTAGTATTGAACAGAAATACTTTAGCTCCAAAGACTTGGCAAAGTGAAGTCTGTATGAGCACAGAACACTATGTATCTTACAGGTGCAAGAAAGACAGCAATGAACAAGCATGCAGGAGGTATCTCACGTTTTTATTAGTCTCTTAAAGATGGAAATAGAAAGAAGAATCCTAAAATTCGGTTGTACTGATGATTTCCATAATTTATTAGTTAATGGATAATTTAAGAACTCCATACCTGTTTCAAAACTTCTATTAATACTAAAGAAAAAATAAAATCAATAGCCAGATCTCTTCTTTCCATTAAATAGTCCCTCTGCTGTTCATCACTGCAAAATCAAACCAGGAAACACAATATTTAGGAGATGTGTCGTAATTCATATTATATGCCTTCTTCAATTACACAAATACTGATAACAGGGGATTGTGTTCTACTTTTTAAACTGCAGTCCAGCATTTCAGAAAGTAATGCACTGATATGTGCTTAAAACCTGAGATACATAGATGAAATCTAACTTGCTACTTTCAAATGTTTAAATGTCACTCTCCATTTCCTCCCTCTTTTTTCCAGTTTCAGAGCCATACAAAACTTTTTCAAGAAAAAACCCAAAACAAAACCAAAGAAACTTTTGGATGCTATATTCTAACAAATGGATTTAATTTCAATTTCCCTGCTGATGGCATCATTTAGATAGTTCTCAATTACACTTTGGAGGCAAATGTAATAAATTATTTTGTGCTATCAAATTCATATTTAGACTTGAGATGGCTTTTGAAAAATGCCTTGAAAGTACCAACAGAGAATTCATAACCAAACTACATTCTCTTTTAAAAACTGTTCCAGTGTCATTTTTTTAACTTTGGCATCGCTTGTGAAATGTTCAAATGCATTCCCTGCGCAGAACAACAGAGAGGAATAAATGTCTGAGGTCAGTAGCTTGCCATACAAAGACAAAAAAAAACCCCTTTGGATCACCTGATCACGGTTTCAAAGCGTACTGGGAAGATAACATGAAATATAAAATACTTTTAGTAAAATTAAATGTGAAAGGGACAGTTCTGCAGTCTGTTAGAAGCAGTTGCCACTGATTTCAGTGAGATTTTTGTTTGCATAAATTCAGCACAAGCCTTATAAACATTAAGAGCTTTAGTGATTTCAGTTGTCCTTATGTGCTTACAATAGAACATGCATTTAAGAGTTGTGCTTGACCAGTGATGAAATTAATAATTTGCATTTTGGTTTTCTTGGTTTCACATTAACTGCAGAAAGCACTGGTTATATGTTCTTTCTGTTACACTATCAATTGACAGAGTGGCCTTGGTTCACTGCTAAGCTGACTTTCAACTACATGTTGGGTGGAGTTCTGAAGACATCTATTTATGAGCACGTGGTCCTGCAACAAGTTAAGAGAAAGAAGCACTTCAAGGCAAGGATTCATCTCATCGAAAAGTAGACATCTGATTGATGAATCATGCCTTCATATTGCCTACTGCTACTGACAGAAAGAGTCTGAAAGATTCTGATTCAGGTTCATGTCTACCTTAATATCTAAAACTAGCTCCTACCCCTTCATTCCAGCAAATATCACCTTCAGTATTTACTGGATTATAATGTAATCCTAATGTGAAGAATTGCCTGTACATTTCCAAACAGCAGGTCTGCCAGTGTTGATTCTCCTGCTACTTCATTAAAGTGTGTATATGTAGTGCCAAAGTACTCAGAAAAACTGTACGTTTAATGAATGTACCTGTACCAAACCGTCAGATCTCCATATAACTAAGACCAATCTGTTGCCTTATCACTGAGGATCTATTGACACCATAAGAGATCAATGTATTTGTTTTGGGGTCTTTATTTTTGTTTGCTTGTGTGTTTTAAGAGCTAAGTCAGTGCTGCTAAAGCTGTTTGACTGATTCACAATTTTTTGCATTGAGGACAGGCGTATGTGAAATTTCTATGACTAAGCAGAATGCTATATAAAAAAATCCTTCCAAGTGTCACAGAATTATTGCCTGCTCACATGAGTAAAGAAGACAGACACAGTTTATCCAAACCACTATTTAAATGACATTACTGCATCCAAAACAGTAGTAAGAAACAGTGTTTGAACTATCAATCAGGACCATAATTTAAAAGACACAATTACTCCATCCATCTAGAAGCTGAGAGAAGAGTTCCAGGAACAAGCAGAAAAAGATGACAACAACTTTCAAGCAACTGTAACCTCATAAAAGCTGACTGCTGAAATGTAATACTTTCTACCTTTGAATCTGCCAGTAATGTATGCATGCATATTCAAAATCATACCTTTTGGATTTAGTGCTTGTTCTTGGTCTGTACTCATGAGATTCATCTTCTATGCCATTCTGTCTTTTATACCAATCAAACAAAGTGCGCAGGATAGAGGGTAGGCAATATTCTGAAAGTGAGCTCATTGAGCTTATTACCTATGGGGAAAATACAACAAATCAACAAATGAAGTGGTGTTGAAGTTTCCCCTCCTCCTTAAAAAAAAGTACTAATTCAATGGTTAGATATGTTCTTTCTTGTTTTCATCTCATTTATGAGATCCATGGCACAAGCAGTGACTTAATATTCTGCATTTCCTGTTGAAACATAAGCAGAAATAAAATAATGGGCTATATGTCAGTAGTGTCTTTCCACTGATGATACTAAAATGCATTAAAACCGTGTATCACATCTTACAACACACCAGAAAACTATCTAGTTCTTCAAGGGGTTTATTTTTATTTGTTACACAATGTTGATTTGAGTTTGAGTACATTATAAGGAAAGAAAAAGGGATGAATCGGAAGTACTGTCTTCATGGGTTGTATCTGACTCCTGGATGCCCCTCCTGAAACTCACACTATATTGAGAAACCCCACAAGCTCTGCTGCAATCATCTTAACTCACTGAATGTGTAGATACATCCATCTTACTATTAGGCTCACACACCTGATAACTTAGACTTTTCTTTTATATCTAGGAAAATATTTACAGCTTCCTGTGTCTTTCTGTGGACGAATAAGTAAAACATAGTTTACAATCATTCCTTAAAAGTTCCTGATTAAACAGCTCTAGTGGCATACTGGAAAACAACATTACTGCTCATTCAGTAACATTAATTACAGAAATGTTACCGAACATGTTACTACTGAACTATGACTTAAACTTCCTACTACAGGAAACCATAAAGCTGCAAAAGATGAAAAGATCAAAAGCTAGGGTGAAAAAAAATCCATTATTATACAAGAGGATTATATATGTATTGCAACCGAATGTCCACAGCTACAGCACTTGTGTACATTCTAAGAAAACAGAAAACAACTATTTAAAATAGGAATAAATTACTGATCTGGAGATTTGTGACCACCTCAAGGTCATGCAGGGCTTGATCCTGTGAAGTGCTGAGTAGCAGGAGTGAAGTGCTGAAGCATGTACTTCATGTCAAGCCCGCCGATTATGTCATTAACTCTGTCAGGTTTACCCACCTGCTTAAATTTAAACCAGCATGTTTCAGTGCTTGTGGAAGAACAACAGTAGAGTTTAAAGTCTTGTATAAGACCCAGTTTGTGTCTACTGTGTGACTAAAACAAGGGCAAAACTGGGAGACCAAGCACCTTACATACAATTCCTGAATGTTACCAAAGCCTTCCTTCTGTGGATGACAGTTAGTTTAGATCAGTAACTCTGATCTCTTTTGCAGTTTTTCAGCCTCATAATTTAACTAATCGACAGTGATGCTGTGGTCTAAAGATAGGGAGACACTTTGAGGATAAAGTATTATTGTTCAGCTAATATGGCCTAAAATTAAATATGGAGCGTAAAAAAGTTATAACAACTGCCCCTGTGAAAATAGAAGTTTCTATAAAAGTACTATTTTAGGAAAGCTTTCAATCCGGTGTTTCCAATATATTTTATTACCCAACATATGAAACAAGTTGCTGTGGAAGATGGCATGAAGGCACTGTTTGCAGCAGCGACAGGAGGCCTTTCATGAACAATTACTACAGCAGCCCAGGCTCAATTATACCAAAGCCTTCAAGCATATGGGTTCAGATAAATCCTTAGAAGACGTGAATCACCTAGTGTCAGTGTAAACGATTCACTACCAGCTCAGGACACTTAGACATTTCAATCCCTTCTCTATTGTTTTCCAAAGGTTTTTCTGAAGCTGGCCTAACACCGGTTGTTAATTATGAGATGCAGTGAAAGAGGGTTTGCTGGGGAAGACTACGGTGGAATCATAGAAATGTAGAGTAGTTTGGGTTAGAAGGGACCTTAAAGGTCATCTCATCCAACCCCCCCTGCAGTGAGCAGGGACATCTTCAACTCGATCAGGTTGCTCAGAGCCCTGCCCAACCTGACCTTGAATGTGTCCAAGGATGGGGCATCCACCACCTCTCTGGGCAACCTGGGCCAGTATTTCACCACCCTCATTGTAAAAAAATTCTTATATCTAGTCTGAATGTACTCTTTTTTAGTTAAAAAACATTACCCCTTGTCCTATCGCAACTGGCCCTACTAAAAAGTCTGTCCCCAAATAGACCTGAAGAGATCACAATATTTAAGTGTAAGTGAAAAGTTGTTTCAGTCAGGTCCTCTTGCACGTTCACCGACATATTTATCAATGCTGTTCTCTAAATCCCAGCTACACAACTTACCTCACTACAAAAAGCCAAAGTGATTCCTGTTAAATCTCCTCAAGTCATACTTTCTCTGCTGAATTTACAGTGTCTGCCTTTAGTAGGGATAAAAGGTCAATATAGCTTTTTAAAAAAAATCTTTCTCTCATTGCACTTTTAAGACAGGAAGGAAGGGTGGACTGGGCAAAGACCTGGCTCTCAGGGAACAGGAAGGGAGGGAAGTCTAGCCAGCGCGTTGGTTACTCAACCCTTTCATTTACTGGAAGTAAGTCCAGGAGTGAGATGAATTCCAGCTCTGTGCTGCTCCTGAAAGGGAGTGCACAGATGTACAAGTATGTCCTTGTTGGAGAAATGATCATGTTCTTCCATCATAAATGAACTACCTACTGTATAGCTTAAGGATAAGAAAGCTGCACAAGTAGGGAGCTGTTGAAAACTTGTGTTCACAGAGCATTAAACGTACTTTATGTAAATGCTTAATATTTTTTTTGGACTAATATGTAACAGCAAATTTAATGAAATTCTGCCCAGAGAGTTTGCTACAATCTATACACTTTCATAAAAGGCTTGCTATATTGTCAAAATACAAATATAAGAAATGTTTCCACTAACAGCAGATAGATACTGATTACTTTTTTATTTCACATATGAATTTCTATGTGCCTTAACAGCAAACATATTCAAAACTGCATTCAATTTCCAACAGTGTCATTAATTTCTTGGCTCTGCCTTTTTTTCATATATCACGCATGTCAGTATATATGTTAAATGTGCATTTTATTGCCATGTAGAATTGTAGTACTTCATTTTTGCAGTGTCAGTTTATTTTTTGCAGATCTATTATTTGCACAGTGTCTGCATATTCTGTCCTCAAATTGTTGTTGCGTAGATTCCAAAGAATGGACATTAGGAGTGAGATTTTACACTCTTTATCAATCATAGAATCATAGAATCAT